CAGCCGTGAGGCGTGAGGCTCAGACCTGCTCCAGGGAAGAGCCACGTCCTGCCTGGAGGTGCCCAGTGCTTTCCATTTTCAAGTGTGTGTCCCCCAAAGGCACCCCGCTTAAGTCCCTCATTTCAGAGGACAGCAGAGTGAGGGTGAAGGTTCACGTGTGGACGGGAGCCCCTCGTGGGCCAGAGCCCCAGGGTGTAGACTCACTCCTCCAGTCCCTGCTCAGAGGAGCTGCTGGGGCCAGGGGGGAGGTGGCTGGACCAGTGTCCTTGTGCAGGACTCCCTCAGAACGCACTCGGTCCCCACCAAGGCCGGTGGGGAAGCTGTACCCACTGCGCCCACTGGGTGCTGGGGCCCCTGACCCGCCTCTGCCCATGGCAGGGCCTGCCCACCCCACTCCCAACACATGAATACCCACCCAGGCCCCACCTCAGAGCTGCCACAGCTCCCCAGATGCCCACCACCCCGTCCTCCAATGCTGGCCACGGCCTTCTGCCCCCCTTGAGGGAACCCTGACTACCCCCGTCACAGATGCAGGAGACACCCCAGCCGAGGCCACCCAGTCTGTGTCTTCGTGCAAAGTGCCAGAGCAACACGGGGGCAGCTTCCCCACAACCGCTCTGGGAGCTGCCAGTGAGCCTGGAGGCTGGCACGGCACGGGGTGCCCAGCTGCGGCCCCAGTGGCTGAGTCAGGCCCCCTTCCCAAAGGGAAGAACCTGGAGACAGTGCTTTGGGGGCAGGCAGAGGGCTCAGGGCCGCCCCGCCACTGCTGTCTGTCATCCCAAGAACACACAGCTCACTAGCCCCCAGAGGGGTGCCCCTGGCACACCTGGGGGCACATGCAAGGCAGACAGCAGACAGCTTTAAGCTCGGGGGGCTCTGCAGGGTGGTGGGGAGGGCTAGGAGCCCTGAACACACCACTCCGGAAGCTGTCACACTAGGATCTGTTCATTCTAAGAAACGGACTCATTCTGATGATAATCAAAGCAGCAGTTACTGCAAAGCGCACAGGCTGTACGAATGAGAACTTGGGAACCCCTGGGAGAGCCCCTCGCCACCTCGGAGAGCCCAGCCTCACTCCTGCATGCCACGCCTGCGTCTGCCAGGGCCTCACCACCGGTCTTCAGGCTAAGTGAAACCACCCGCCTGGTCCACTGTGTGTCACCCACTTTCAACACACCTGGCGTCTGCACCTCACCTGTCGCGGCTGCAGGGACTAGGCCTGGCCCCGCCCCCAGCCTGGGCAAGCCCTTCAGGCAGGGGTTGCAGTCGGTGTGGCCCGTGTCCAGACTGGGGAGGGACCCCTGCAGCTGCCTCGGGCAACGGGCTGCCCAGTGCAGGGCAGCATCTCTCGTGTGCACGCTGCTCTGGCCTCATCTGAAATATCTCAAGGCTGCAATTTTTATTGTGGGCATGAGTGCTTTGCTAAACCCCAAAACCTCAAGTATCAGCAAAATGAATCAGAGCTTCCTTGGGAATTGGTGTCCAGCTCAGGAACACGCATCTGTTAAAGAGTTTTCAAAAACGGTTTGAAGCCACAGCTGCAACCAGGGTGAATGGGACGGGGTCAGACAGGCACGCTCGGTGTCTGGATGGGCACGGGGCGAGGGAGGGCAACTAGGTCACACTGAAGGGACCCTCTCAGGGGCGGGGGGTGGGGAGGCTGAGCCTGGGGGACCTGGGAAGGAAAGGCTGGGGCTCAGGGCCGGGAGACAGACAGCCACCCCCCCGACCCGAGCACAGCCTGTGAAGGGGGGCTGCGCTTGAGACAAGCCTGACGAGGCCCCAAGAACAAGGTTCTGGGGAAGCCCAGGGGCCTCAGAGAAACGGGGCTGCCGCATCCACTGACCTTGCACCCAGGATGGAGGTCAGGGGCCTGTGGGCTTACACTCTCAGAAATCACTTTTATTTTTACCTTTCACCCCAAGGTAGCAAAAAGTACACAGTGAAGGACTGGCTATACACGTCTATTAATCTAAAGCCTGAAACAACGAAACTGAGAAGATGGAAATGAATAAACAAATAGTTAAAAAACACAGCCCCGAAGGTAATTAATGACACAAGACCCAGAAGAGAAACAATGCTCGACACAGGCCCAGGGCCCAGCCTCCAACCATGTGGACAGTCAGCGCCCGGGACGGTGTCAGTCACACCTGCACTGCAAGGCGCTGTTTGGGCAGGACTAAGACCACGTTAATTGTATTTATAGCCACACATTCACTTGCTCTTTAAGACAAGTAGTTTACGATTCACATCAATTCTCTATTGGAAGGATTCACGTGGACACTGAACACTTGCAAAAGAGGACTCCCTGGAGTCCCGTGAAGACACTGCCAGCCCCTCCTTTCCTGGGCCCCCCACCCTGACCCTCCACTCGTGTCCACTGGGCCCAGGGACACTGTCCATGAGGCCACAGGCTGGCCACTCTTACATTTAGAAGAAAACGACTTATCTTTCCCCAAAGGTGCTCCAAGTAGGCTGCGGGTTCAGCCACAGATTCCTCTCAATCGAAGATGGAAGCTCAGGTGTAGAAACTGGCTCTGGCAGAAAATGAAAAAAATCTGGAAGCTTCCACCACCATGACCTAGGAACTACGCTGAAGCCCCACACGAAACACCAAGTTTGTGCTGCTCTGTGTTCAAGGGCTCTGAGGCAAAGGGAAGACAAAAACTAAGGTCAAGGGGGTAAAATTTACACCTAAAAACGGACAGCTCGGTATCTGCTACACCCGGAGGAACCAGCCACCACAGAAAGGCCCCTGCAGTACAATGCACGGACATGAATCGTCCAGGAGAGGCAGGGCCACAGGGACAGCGGGCCAGGGAGGCCGGGGGCTTCGCAGGATGGGAACGGCCTACGGCCTGCTGTGTGAGGGGCGTGTGGCCCCGGGGCCCGCAGACCCGCATGCTTGATGCGGGTGGACCACCTCAGAGTTGGACTGCTCCCTCGTCAGGGGAGGAGACACTCCCTATCCGTCTGCGGAGGGGCGGGGGAACAGACTCCCCAAGCAGCCTGCCCGCCTCACTCACCAGGGCTGGGACCGCAGGGGCAGCTGCTCCCCGCCACACCCATCACCCTGCTGCTGCTTATGGGTAGAACCAAAAGCACCTATTTGTGGCCAGACGGCTAAGGAATAAAGAGCTTCTGTACCAACAGGCTGCACGTCACTCACTGAGGGCTCAGTGACCACGGGGCCATGCGTCCTCGGGAACACAGGGGTGTGTGCACAGGGACCTCAGGCCACCAACAGCAGGTGGGTGGCGGGGCCCCCAGCGCCTGACCCTCACCACCAACTCCTGGCTCTGCCCAACAAGGAGCATTCCCCGACTTGTCACTCTCTCCCCTGAAAATCAAACACTTTTGAACGTAGTGGTTTACCCCTGAATCACACCTGAGAGAACTCTTCTAGTTCTGCACTGTAGGTTATGAAAACCATCCCTCTGCAGAAGCCCAGGTACCCCCCTCAACAGACATGGGGTTTTAGCTGTTGTGCACCTGTCACCAGCAGATGGGGAGACGGGCCAGGCCCCACCCCACTGCTCATCAGCAGCCCCCACCCCCTAAGCATCTTAGTGTGGCCTATTCTGAAAAAGCGGGAGATCACAGCCCGAACATGAAAGGGCCGGCCTCATGACACGCAGGGGAATGAGGGCACGTGTGTTAGCGTCTGCTTTCACTCCTTACACTGAGCATAAGTTTTCTTCGAAAGGAACAGTGCTAACTGAAGAACCATCTTCAGAACTAGATGGAGGCTGCAGTGCGGCTCTCAGCTCGCTCAGGGAAGGGACCGTGGGGACCGCCTCCCGCGGGGCCCAGCCACTCTCATTACACACCCAGGGGAGGGGCCTCTCTGTGGACCTGAACCTGAGTCAGAGCCCGGACCCAGGCCTCAGCAGAGCACAGCACTGTGATGCGGAGGCCAGCACATAGCTGGTGGCTGAATACTCGCAGATTCTCCTAACGCAGGTCCTGGGGCCTGGGAGATGGGGGAGTGCAGGGGGTGCCCTGCAAGATCTCTGGCAACTTTGCTCTGGCCCGCACACGCCCTGGACTCCTGGGATCGGTGAGCCTCAGGCGCCCGCACCTACATGAGCCAGACCCTCCCTTGTGCCCCCAGCAGGGATGGCTGCGTTCCTCCCAGAAGCCCCCACTGACGGTTTACTTGCAGCTGAGGAGGAGAGGGGTCAGCAATGGGGGGGGCAGGGGCCCTCCTAGCTGACTAATTAATCTACAGATGTACAGAGAACATTCGTAGTTTATTAAAAATTTCGAGTGCCAACATGAACACAAGGCTTTCCAGTTGGTGTCTATACCCCTCTCACTCAGAAAGTCTGGTCTGCATCCTACAAACTAGTGTCACTCACCGTGACAGTGGAGGCCAAGGCGCCGAGAGCAGCCGCGGTGCGCGGTGATCACGAACGTCTGGTCAAAGCTCGGGCAGGGAAGGCCTTACCCATCACAGCCCGGTGTCACCGTCACATCAATTATTTACAAATAACCTCTTCGTTCACGTGAGTCTGGGAAGCAGCCCCAGTCTGTCTGGTCTCTTCCTGAAACAAAGTCAAGTCCTCTCAAAGTACCTGCTTCCCCCATGCTTCTTTTGTGGGTACTTCGGCCAGCTCATCACCCAACCCTCCAGAAACATCACCAGAGTGCTGCGCCACCCCACGTGTGTACCAGAGCACACCTACCTGCAGAGGAAGGAGGGGCGCCTCGCGGTGGGAGAAGCCAGGTGCCGTGGCTCCCACATGCCTTACCTAAGCTGCTCTGTCGTGTCAGAACCCTTCCCCGACCGTGTGGGTGTGGACGTCATTCACGCCTGCGCCCTGCACGCCCGAGGCCCCGAGTGGCTCCAACCCTCAGACCATCCCGTGAGCACCAGAACAGAAACCCAGTGACCCAGCACCCTGCGCACAGACGCCCCTGAGGAGGAGGTCAGAGAGGTGCCTGTGGTGACACCTGGCAGAGACAAGCAGGCAGGGGGTAAAGCCACCCCGGGATACAGTTCTTTGTCTTTCCTAAGGAGGTCGTTGTACATCTGGTCGTAAGTGGTTTTGAAATCATAAACGTTCGGCTTGTCAGGTGCTGGTCCTGGAAGCTTCACGTGAGTTCCCGTTCCGAAGGACCGGACGCTGAATCCTCGTTTGCTGAAAGACATGAAAGGAGAGAGAGGATTAGATTAAATAAGACACAAAATGCTAAAAAGGAATATGAAATGAACTAGATGAATAATTTTGTTGATACCAAGAACAAGCTTTTCAATTCTTAAGTATTTCACTTGCAAATTTAAAAAAATCCCGCAGCACATTACACAAGATAGGCGAAGCCAATCCAAATGGGAGACAAAGGATCCTTCATGGAAGGGGAGGAGAGGCTGTCAAAGTGTCACTCAAACCTCTGAGGCCTGGGACGGACCGACACAGGGACCCAGGGGACGTGTCATCCAGACACCATGTCACCTGACCACTGTCCTGGTCTGTGTGGGGTGCAGGTTCACAGGACCCGTGTTCTGACCTCTAAGAGCGGAACTGCTCACCCAGGCTCCCAGCTGCCTGTGGTGCCGGCCTGAGGGGCACGCAGGGACGCCCCCAGCTCCTAGGCCGGGCATTCCTGTCACCTAGGTCAATGATAAGGAAACTGACCAAACGTGCGTCCTGCGAAACTGGGGGAGTGTGCATCAGTGACCTGCAGCGCCCACAGGCGACGAGAGTCACACTCTGAGAAAGAATGTCACCTCAACGCCCTGAGGCCGTGGGCGCTGTCCTCCTGAGGACCACACTTGGGTCAAAACTCCTGTTCTTTCAAACTCAGTCAATAAAAGTAAATGTTTTAAGGGTTCCAAGCGTCTACAGGAGATGGGCTTCCTGTCCCAGCTTTGCACTCGGACATCACGTGCTGTCTGCCTGCAAGGACTCCCTGGCCACAGGCTCGCAGAAGACACACGGGTCCCCCCATGCCCACACTCCCCTTGTGGGCTACAGCTGGGAGACACCACAGGCCTTCCGAGGCCCAGAGGAGCAGCAAACGTGCTCCCAAACCAAGGACATGGCAGGAAGCACACCAGGTGAAGAGTTCAAAGGGTCGCGGGGCCGCCCTCTCCCACCGCGGGTCTGCATCGCAGCGGGCACAGGGCCAGCTGTTCAGATCACAGCTCAGGAGCTGGTGCTGCAGGAAGTAGCTGGGAATCTGCGGAGGAGCTGAGGCTGACATCCACGCGTGAGACCGTGGTTGCCTCCCGCCGGACGCCTCCCCGCCGAGAAGCCCAGCCTACGGGACACACACTCAGGGCAGCCCCACAGTCCCTTGCACAGAAGGCATGGAGAGCCAGCAGGACCCCTGTTGTCACCATGGGAGGTGGAGGGGCCCCTATGTGGACACCAGCACTGCGGCCGGCAGCGGAGCCACCACACCTGTACCTCCAGGCACCAGGCATTTTCTGAAGCTCTTCTCATCCAGTTTCGGTTCAACACCTCACTCAGGTCCTCTCAAGCTGGGAAAAGCTGGGTCCCATCCCTCTGTCCCTACAAGTCCTGAGCTCTGCAGCCAGTAGGGCCCCCCAACACCACCCAGGAAGGAGGACACGGTGACAACAGAGCTGAACAAGGAGCAAATCCAGGCCACACCCAGCTGAGCCATGAACAAAAACCCAGACAACCCTTGTCATGCTCACTGCAATTGCTGACCCTGGGGCGGGGTACCTGGGGGTGCAGGGACACTGACCATGCCCAGACCCGGGGCCACGAGGGCCCGACCACACAGCACACCCACACCCGTAGGCCCTCCAAGAAGGTGCACTAGTCCAGGAACAGACAATAAAAACTTTCCTGCCGAAGCACCATTAAGAGGGGGATGAAGGTCCCCTGGACACCAGCCAAGGGAGGTCAGGGGGCGCCTGCTCCCGTGGGGGCCACACCCTCCCAGGACGGGGACAAGGGGACAGGTCACAACCACGAAAGCCATGCTTGTCTTGCTGGCTTCACCATTTGTTACTATCCCACAAGAACTGCCACCAAACAAGCAGGCTGTCCTCTGAGTGCCACCTCCTCCCCGAAAAACACCCCTGAGGTGCCGTCTGCCTGGAGTGTAAACACACATCACTGAAGGAAAAGGGACTTGCTCTCGAGACCAACCTGGGATTCCCCTGGGTTTGGCGTGTGACTCGCGTAGAGGCGAGTGCCACACGAGGCACCCTGGATGCTGGTGACCAGCCCGGGATGGAGGTGGGGAACAGATGACCGGAAAACAGGTCCTCAAGGGAAGGAGGGGTGCTATGAAGAGACATGACCCCTTGAAACAAGACCCCCAAGGGCTCGGAGCAGAGGTCCAGCCACCACAGAGGGAGCCAGGGTGTGACTTCGCGGGGGACACGAGGGCTGCATGGACGCGGCTGCTGGACACATACCTGAAACCCCTCGGGTCTGTCTCCAGAGGCCACACGCTCCTCACGGGAGCCAGGGTGAAAGGCCTGTCTTTGGTGGTGGCGCGGATGCTTTAAAGCACGTCGTTTGCAGTAGAGATAGCGCCTTTGGGGGTCAGAACGAGAAACTGTGGTCGAGACCACCTTTCTCAGCTAGTGACCTAAAAAGCATGTTCCAAAAGGGGTCCCCAAATCATCTGGGGAACAACGCAAAAAACCAAAATGTTTCTCAAAAAAGATGTGGAATATTCATTTAGATACAGTTCCTCCCTCACTCTAAAAAAAAAAGACAGTATTTCTGCATAACTCAGTCATTTCCTTCTGGTCACTCCTTTGAGGGACTTAGTCATAATTAAGTTTATTTAAATGAGCTCAACTCTTAAAACTAAATTAAAATATATTAAAACGAGCCCATGCACAACTGCTCTTGTAACACGTTAACGGAGCACACAGTGAATAAGCCTTCATCTAGCCAAGCAGCAGCAAAGGAAGTTACTCAATCCCTGACGGCTAAAGCTTCAAGACTGAAGAACCACCTCTACTGGTGGTGGGTTTACCATGGATTCAACAGGACTTCCCGGAGCTCCCCACGTGCTGCGGGTAGAAAGGTCACCAAAACAGATCCAAGTCCCTCCCCCAGATACCCTGGAGTGGGGGACAGGGTGTGAAGCCTCCGGGACACGGGACATCAGGAGTCGGGTGATGGCGAAGCCGGGGCTGACAGGGTGGGGTCTGGAGACGGCACCTTGGAGCAGTTCTCAGCCCCAGCGGCCCACGATGCACATCACACCCTGTGACCCAGAGACTCAGACACGACCCCAGAGCGTTTTAGAGGTGCCCCTAAAAGCTGCCCACAGGGTTCCCAAGAAGCCCCAGCACAAGGTCTCACATCCCTCTTCCCAGTGGAGCAGCAGGTCTGAACTGCCTGTGTGGCGCCCCCGCAAGGCACACCCCCTTTCCTAATCTCCTGTCACAAGGAGTCTGAGGCGTGTGTTAGGTGTCCAACAAAACACTGTCCGTATGCCTGCAAGTAACCACCCCAAAGACAACCGGGGCTGACCGTCCACCCAGCTGAGCCCTAACAAGGCTCCCAGGGGGATGGCACTGGGAACGGCCAGGCAGCAGTGGAGCTGGCAGAGTCTCCCGGCTGGAAACTCCCTCAACTTCCTGAAATGGGACTCAAGCACATTTTAACATAAAATAAGCCCAGCTGGTTCTTCCCCCAGCAAAAAGGCTAACTAACTAGCAACAGAAGTGCTGTTCTTGTAAGCTCGTGCAACTGACAAAACAGCCCAATCTGTGTGACTGCGCGGTGACAGCGTTGTTTCTTACATAAAAGGACTGAGCGCTACAAAAACGTTCCTGAGAAGCAAAAGGCTCTGTCTGAAGGGTCAGCTATATAGTACGTTAAACAAAGCTGCTAGACAAGTATTTATCAAACTTGTCTTTACTGGTGTCAAGAATGTATCATAAAAATAAATTATAGTATCAGAGAAAATGCTAAATTATAGAAAGATACAGAAATTGTATGTTAAGATACAGAAATGTTAAATTATAGAAAAGATAGATTACAGTATGACAGAAAATTAAATTACATTAAATTAAATTTTGGGAAACAAAATTGCTTCCATTGTTATCCCAATATCTAAAGGTAAAATAATGAAGTTAAAATGAACACCGAAAAGGATCAAGAAAACACCCAAATTAACAGCATGGGTTATGGCATTTATTCTGTTTTCTGCAGTGTTTTCTGGTTATTAATCTAATTCAGAGCATTATTTTGGCTAAGACTGAAATCCTAGACCACTACTAACTTTCTGAAAGCACGACCTGACCCGTCTGCAAGCAGGACACAGTGCATTTATGGTCATAAGTCACCTTTACTACAAGTGACTCACTCACTGTCTAATCATCCTGATTTGCAGC